ATAAATTAAATATTAATTTTTATTTTTTAATATAAATTTATAACAAAAATTTATTTTTAATAAACTTTTAAGCCATTTTTTGAATCATTCACTTTTGCATTCAAATTGCAATAAAAATCATAGCATGAATCAATGAGAATCATTAACAATTGAGAAAGGCTGCAAAATACCATACAACTATACAAGAAATACACTCTGAAAAAAGAAACAATAAAAATTAATAGGAATAAAATGTATTTGGGACTTAGCAAATTAAAACCAATTTACTTATCCAAACTTGAAACATAACTCCATCCAACAATCCAAGGGAAACAAGAAAATAGTGCACTCAATATAAACATATTCACTTCCAACAAAACATGAAAACTAATCACATAATATCCAAAAATAAAACATAAGAAATTTAGAAGTGATAAAAAAATAGAATTTCAGGCAAAAAATTTCGACTTTTTTTTGACAACTTAATAGAATGCATAAACCCATAATATCTCTACAGCATCAATCCAATTAATTTCAGCAAAGCCATCTTAATTTACAAAATCTCTACCTTAAAATAGAAAAAAAAAAAAAAAAAGATCTTTAAACAACATAACGTAGCAACTACATTAAATAAGTAAACTCAATTGAAACAAAGAAACCAATAACAGAATACTAATTGAAATTAAAAATATCATATATTTCCTCAAGTACTTACATTGTATCACATTATCATAAGCTATTACTAAAATACAAACTCTACTCTTTAAACACTAAGACAAATTAGAGTAGTAACAAAGTAACAAACCTAAGTTGTAATATAAACATTAGCTAAACCAATCTACTATTGATACTAACTACCAAGTGATTTAAGTTCAGAAAATCACCATTCTTCCTTAACACAAGTTGCATGTTATGTTCCAATTGCCATCTCCCAACAACTTTGAAACTGTCCAAAAAGAGAAACTGTCCAAAAGAATGCTTGTCTATTCAAAAGAAAACTGCCTATCCAAAAAAAAAAAAACTTGTTTGTCCAACAGAAAACTTATCTAGCCAATACCACATGACAAAAAAATGCATTATACCCAATGCAGGCCACAACCCATAGCATCATTTGATTACTTAATTGAAAAAGCTTACCTCAATGCTAACTTAATTACTTAATTACATTAAGTTAGCATAGTTTAAAGTTATTTAGGAGTTTACCTTGTACCTTACCATTTATAAATCCACCATTCACTCAAGAATGGTGAAATCCAAATGTAGCTTATCAAACTCTGTAAAATCAATTAAAAAAAAATAGTTTCATGGTTAAAATTTTCTCAATTGCATAATTAAATAAATAATTGAATTTGAAAGAAACATGTAACATATAATAAATTACCTTTCTCTAAACTATCCAATTTGTCTAAATCCTCTTCCTCCATATCAGAAGTAGTCTTATCTCTCAACTAATCTTGTGCACAAATGAGAGCTTGTGTCATTCTTGGTGTCAATGATGATCGAAAAGCATCAAGGACTTGGCCTCCAATACTGAATGCTAATTCAGAAGCAACAATAGATATTGGGACTGCCAAGACATCTCTTGCAATGGTTGCTAACATTGGAAATATATGCTCATTCATCTTCCACCATTGAAGAACATCAATATCTTCATTCTCATCCTCAAGATCCTTTGCCAAGTACTTTTCCAGCTTTGTTTTTTCTGCTTTTCTACCATTGTCAGCTTTAAACTTCTTGTAATCAAACCTCACTTGGGATGTTTGCACTCTATTTTTCAGATCTGCCACACTTTGGATATTGGTTGTAGAGGTAGAGCTGCTTCCTTGTTCATCAAATGATTGGCAATCAGTTGATTTCCCAGTAGAGGAATTCAACCTCTTGTGTTCTTCAAACAATATTCCCATCTCACGTTTGATCATGGCAACATAAAGGAGCCCATCATCATCAGGTTCACAACCATACATCTTTAGCATTAGGTACTCTAAATAATCCATTTTTTATGTTGGATCTAGCACCACTGCAAAGAAGATGTTTTTGTTCATCTCCCTTGGATTCCCCTAATACTTTTTATATTTTTTCCTCATTTTACTAGCAAGATCATGAAGATCCACATCCTATTCCCATTTTTTAAGTATATGATCAACCTATCTTGGGTTTGGAACCGAACACCGCACTGATTATAAACGGTTGAGGCCCGAGACCGTTCTTTGGACCCAAAGCCCGTTTGTGCCTGCACTGCAGGCCCAATTTTGACGCGGTTGTCCGGCATCGGTTGCCCGCGTGCGCGCCCAGCTCTATTCAGAGATATGTCTGAAAATGTTTGTCACTTCATCAAAATGTAAAGACTCTTCACTTTATTTTCCTCCTCAATTTTCCTCTCTTATTTCTTAAAATTTCACTTGCTTAAAAAAAATCAGAAATGTGTCTGAAAAGCAACAGGATGTGACAAGTTCCCCAGTTTCCTTTTTCTGGGTGACTCTGTGCAGCCGATGGCGTTGGGGTCTGGTTGGATGTAGAGAAGACTTTCGAAGACTTTTGATTTTTTTTTTTTTTTTTGTTTATATGAAGGATAATGACTAATGAGTCTTTCTCTACCCCTATGAAATTATGTATTTTAAATTTTTTAACTTTGAATTTTTAATTTTTTATTATTTAAAATATTTTAAAATAAAAAATTAGTTACAATTCTATTTGATTCCTTTTATTTTAATGAAAAAATTTCTTTTTAATTTCTTTACTTAAAATTTTATTTTTAATTTTTAAAGTTTAATATTTAATTCTTTGTCCCTTTAATATTTTTAGATATATGGCACATTGAAAAATATAAATCTTATAATAAGGAAGTTAAAAAGTTTTTTAAGTAGAAATTTTTTTTAAAAATTTACTCTTTTTACTTTTAAAATTTTTATCATCTCATATGTAACATATGTAAAAAGATATTGAAGAGACTAAAAAAAATTGAATAATAAATTTTAGAGACTAATAAAGGAATTTTTTAAGTAAAAAGATTAAAAAAATACTTTTTATTAAAATAGAGAGACTAAAATAAAATTTTAACAATGAAATTTTATGATTATTTTGAAAAAAAAAATCTTTTAAAAAATATTCCAATTCACATTTTTGGCCCAAAGTGTTAGCATTTTGTAGTAAACCTTGATTATTGCAGGGAAATAGATTTGCGGCATCGAATCTATAAATCAATTGCAATTGCTTTGATGAGATTTTCTCATGTAATACGACCTCATCAAATGTGGACATGATCCATTTGGTTATGAAGTTTAGTTTTTGTCGGGTAAGATAATAAAAGAGTTTAATAGAATGTGATTTGATTTGATTTGAACTTGATAATTGATACCAATATCATGTAAGTTTTCAGATTCTTTGACATGGATTTTTCCCACCTAATATTTTGCAACGAAGCTTTCACATGAAAGAAATTCTGCAATGAAGCTAATTTCATGAAAGAGAGTTTTATTTTTTTTGAAAAAATGGAGCTTTTGAAAAAATGGAGCATTTGAGTTCAAAAACAGGGGAAAAGTGTGCAACGCAGAGGCAGGATCATAAAAAATGTCTAATTGTTAGGAAGACAATTGAACAAGGGACCAAGAAGTTAGAGAAGCAAAAGTAAATCTTAGATTACAATTCATCCAAAACTTTGCTTGAAGGGCTAAAATAACAGTCCAAATTAAACAGGAAGAATTTGATACTGACCCATAACAATCTGGATTGGAATAAATGTTGTGGCATTAATAACACTGTTGGAAAACCAGGTTGTTGTAGGTTGATGTTTTACCCAATTTAGTCTAAGTAACCTCTGTAACATAGACAAAGAGTTAATGATAGTGTCTTTAATTTGCACAATTCATGAACAATACATTTGCCTCAGAGCATAAATTGGTGTATGCAAATGTTTGTTTTTTGGGAAAAAAAAAAATCAGTGCATTCAAATAACAAATATACGAGCACTTCAATGGGGAAGGCAACAAGTTTTTTGTCAAGCCATCCAGCAAACACCAAGCAGAATCAACCCTACATGATATCCAAATATGGACCAACAAGAAAAAAAGGCAAACAGAGCATAAAACCAACAGGAAAACAAACAGAATACAAACGGGAATCAACACAAAGCAAAGAGAATAAGCAACAATTACAGACCATGAAAGACAACTCCCATTGTTCATCATGATCAATGTAAGTGTCTCCTTGTTGCTTGATAAAATTTACATTCCTTCCTGGACTAGCTAGTAATACCAGTCGGTGTAGCTAGTCCAAAACTGAACATTTAAGTTGGGAGGTGTGTTTAAGGTTTCAACTGCATAACCTGCGTCCATGTTTAGATCCAAGTCAATCTTCATCTCTTGCAAATGGATCTTATCATGAAGTCTTGCTCTCCTAACCTCATCTGCATCTATGGTACATCCAACGAACTTCACCCAAAGCCGACGAAGGTGGCACAATTTTTCCAGATCACCAATACAAAATTCTTTAGGATCATTGTGATCAACCCTGATGTTAACCTCAATCAACTCCCTGAGAGAAGCTAATCTCCCCATTGATTTTGGGTACCGAGTTAGATCAAAGCAACCTGCAGCACGGAAAAACCTCAAGTTGATCAATTTCCCAATCCCACCCGGTAGTTCTTTGAGACGATGGCAGCCTTTTAGATCCAAAGATAGCAGATTGCATAATTCACAGATTGCTTCAGGCAACTTTTTCATCTTCAGAGCGAAAGAGAGGTTAAGGTGCCTCAAATGCATCAATTGCCCTATTTTATCAGGAATTCCATTTTCGAAATGATTGACCCCATCAGGCCAACCAAATTCGAGCAAACGCAGACGTTTTGACTGCTTAAATAAGTTGCGCAATGCTACATTACTTATTGCTTCCCGTCCACTAAAGGTTACCACACTCCGCAGCTTTTCTGTGCCATGAATTGAGGCAGGAAAAGAAGTTCGTTCTGCCAGCATTACTGTCAAATGGCGAGCTTCGGACTGTAATTCCACGGTTGAGTTTTCACCCCAAGGAACCTTCTTTGTTACAAAATCACTTTCTGTCAAAAACAGGACAAAGTCATGTACTATGTCATGCATCTTACATTTAAATATGCTACCATCTTGAAGTCTTCCAAAATCTTGGAAGAAGGAGCGAGCTGCCAAATAATTAAAATACTCTCTGCCTACTAATTCCATCTCTGCATTGCTACTAGAATTCAGATAACCTTGAGCCATCCAATGTTGGATTATAAGATACTTCCATATTTCAAAATCCTTTGGAAAGATAGCACAATATAAAAAACATTGTCTTATTGCCAAGGGTAAATCATAATAACTCAACAAAAGAGGAGCAAAGATATCTTTCTGTATCATTTTTGATGTCCATATTTCATTGTCTAGAACGTCTATCCACTCTTCTCTTGTTCTTTTATATTGCAACAAACTCCCTAAGGTCTTTGCAGCAAGTGGCAGTCCTTTACACTTCTTGGCAATCTTCCACCCAATGTCATTCAAATCTGAACATTGTTGCTTGTCCCTATTGATGAATGCTATTTGGTTAAGTATGGACCAACACACCTCTTGAGACAGCTCTTCTAGAGGGAAGACATAGGAGGATTCCATCATCTTTACAACTGTGTCCTTGCGAGTAGTCACCAAAATCCTACTTCCAGGAGCTCCATGTTTAAAAGTCTGTTTCAGTGAATCCCAACTATTACTGTCCTCTGTCCACACATCATCTAAAACCAGAAAGAATTTCTTTCCTTCTAAGGAATCACAAATTCTTTTTAAGAGGCTCTGAAGTGGTAGTGAGTTTAAGAGGAACACCGAAGCATGAGCCTGACCTTCAAGTTCAATGATGATTGCTCTTGCAACTCTGGCCTCATCAAAGAGATCAGAGACACACACCCAAACCCTCTTGTCAAAGTGTGCCTTAATTTGATCATCATTGTAGAGGATTTGTGCAAGAACTGTCTTGCCAATACCTCCCATCCCTACTATAGAGATGGTCTGGAGGTGGAGGTCACTAGACTCTTCACTGCTTCCACATAGCAAGTGGCTAATTATCCTTTTCTTTACCTCATCTCGTCCATGGATGACAGAACCATCAACGAAAGATGTGGTTTCTCTTTTTGGTTGAATTTGAGGCTGTGTAATTTCCCTCGATACAAAACTATACCTATCTTTCTGTTCAGCAATATCATCTAATCTTCTAGTGATTTTTTCAATTTGAACAGCAACACCATAAAGCTTAACAACTCGTCGAAGACAAAACGAAGAGATAAAATGACACACCTTTTTCTGAAGGACAGACACAGTATTTTGAGCCTGATTCATTTTCCACTTCAAAAGTGCAGTATTCCACTCATCCAACACGTCCTCCATGTCAAGAGATGCTTCTTTGAGCTGACGTAACCAAAGTTTGATATTTTTGTCCCTCTTCCCCCTTTCCTCTGCATCAACAAGGAGAGCACGGATAGACTCGAGATTGCTTCTCACCTTGTCAATTTCCTCCCGTGCACCCTTTATTAGTCTCACCTTTTGCCTTGCTTCTTCCAAGATGATTGTTGTTAGCTGCTCCAAGACTGCAGAAACAATTACATCCGCCATTTTGCTAGAGAATTACGTTACCTCCGTCCCCGGCTATTTTGTTTTTCAACTCTCTGATTAATTTTGTTTTGTTTGTGAATTTTACGCAGGTACTTCTTTTCTTTTCTTTTTCTTTCCTTTTTTTTTTTTT